CTGTTCATATCCTGTGCCCATTTTTCTATTGGATTATTTACCTTTATCTTGTTGTGGTGACCTTTCTTGATTTTAAACCATGCATTGTTCCCTTGCTCTATTCAAACAAGAGCCTTTTGGTCTAGTTATAGGTTCCTCTGGGATACCTGTTCCTCTTAATATTAGATTAGCCATAATTTATTGTGATCCACATAGTCAGATACCTTTGCATAGTCAATAAAACACAGATAAACATTCTTCTGGTATTCTCTGCTTCAGCTAAGTGACATGGCCTCTTCTAAATTGTGCTTATATTTCTAGCAGGTTTCTATTGATGTGACTGCTTTGGCTGTGTTTGAATAATAAGATTTTACTTGCATGAGATCTTAATGATGCATGTGATGCATCCAAGACAGACTTACATGTTTTCTTGGTAATCTATGGTATGTTCAAATCTCTTCTCAAGCACCACAATTCAAAAGCATCAATTCTTCTGTCATCCTTCTTCGTTGTCCAGCTTTCTGATGCATAGCAACTAATTGTGAAGACCATGGCTTGGATCAGGCACACTTTAGTCTCTAGACTGACATTGTTACTTTTCAGTACTCTGGAGAGGTCCCTGACAGCAGATTTTCCAAATGCTGTTTGCCTTTTGATAGCCTGACTGTTAAAGTGTTGATTGTGGAGCCAAACAAGCTGTATTGTTAACAACCTCATTCTCTTCTCCATCCATCTTGGTGCTGCCAGTTGGCCCTTGATAATAAATTATTATTATAAGGGATTGAGTTTCTAAGATATGTCAAAAGTGAATGTGAAAATGCCATTCAAAACTTTTTAAGAGAACTGAGAATAAAAGGGAATGCACAATCTGTCACCCAGTTGTGAATATTAATGGTAGTGTCAAAATGTCTTGATGTAGTCAGTTCTGCTTCCCTGCATTCACTTTCTAAGTTTGTAAAGTTTTAAGGGGGGGAGACCACTTGTCTTTACCCATTGCAACATTTTAACCACTGACACTTCAGTTAACAGCCTCACCTTTTACACACTCCACCTCCAGCACTCCTGCGTCTTTATAACTTAATGTTGTAGAAGCATGGCGATTATAACATCAGTAGTATGCAGTTTCTAGAAAGTTTGTCATGATTTAAAGCTTATGTAAAACATGAAAGCTTATGTACAACATAAGAACTATCTGCAAGATACTTTCACAAAGGAACTCTGGTGGCTCCATGAAAGGTTGCTATGAGACAGAATCAACTTTCCAGCACTAATTTATTATTAATGAAGTAGACTGATGTTTTCTTCACTTTTAAATTATGCATGTTAAAAGAGGCTAAGCATGTTACACATAGTGAAGAGCTGCAAGTAAATATTATAGATGGATGACATTTTAATGAAGTAAAGAAATAGTCTTATTTTATATTTTTAAAAGGAGTAATACCTCTGGTGTTACAGATTAGGCAGTACTTATAGGGGTAAAGTCCTTATAATGATGAAGTACTTTTAAGTGGAAGATTTTCAGAAGCATAAGCATAAGCTTTATTTTTTACGTTTTTTTCCTATTAAGCCTATAAAAATTTTTAAAAAATATTTCACTGTAATATGATAACATCTTTATAATGACTTTTGCGTTTGGGCAATCAATACATACAAATTTATGAGGAAAGGATTAACCTTAGTTTTTGTTAGTGGTATTAATTTCATTCTCCTTGCTTATGTGTATGTTATTTTTTATCAATGATGCTATTTACATGACCTACTCCAAGGCTTGCTTTCTTATGCTTTTAACATGAGCTTTGTGCTCTATTTTGCTCTTTTCCTAAAATGGACAACAAATAACAAATACCATCTCTAATACTGTCTATTGTGTCCCCTTGTGTCTCTGAATCCAGTAGAGTATTGCTCCCTGTTTATTTTCTCATTGCTTTCATATCAGAATTGACTCATAGTGAGTTTTCAGAAGTTGCAAATCACACAGCAGGAGAGTGTCCATCTTTCATTCGTGGAAAGGTGGAAGGAAAACAATTGAAGACTTCAGATGAGATTGACAGAATAACTGGGGTAATGGAAGTAGGTGTGTCAGAGTCAGTGAGACTGGCTCAGGATAGGGCAAGCTTTATAGCTATTGTATATAGGATTGCTGTGAGTTGGGGGTGACATCATGGCATATAATAACAAAATCTGTTTGACTCTCTTGTTTACTGGGATTTTTTCCCCCATTTGTGAATATCCCCAATCTTTTTATTCTTACTTAAGTTCCTCACCTTCAGCCACTTATCATCATATTTACTTACATCTGAAAGTCAAGTTAGTAATAGAACAACTAACTTTGGGTTAGTGACCAAAGTTGGTGTCTCTTTTCCACTTTGAGTCCACTTTGAGGGAAAAAGACTGGTCCTTCCTGGCCACATGCACAAAGTATGTGATATGGAGTTTCAAAATCCTAACCTCTAAGGACTTAGACACTTAGTTTCAGCCTCTACAAGACAGAGCTTTGTTTTCTTGGTAGTTCATGGTATGTTCAAGACTCTGCTGTAGCACCACAACTCAAAGGCATTGATTCTTCTGTCATCCTTAGTCATTGTCCAGCTCTCTGATTCATAACAATTAATTGTGAAGACCCTGGCCTGTATCAATGTGCCCCCCTTAGTCACTAGACTGACATCATTGCTCCTCAGTACCCTGTAGAGGTCCCTGACAGTAGATTTACATGGGGCAAAAACTATTTTCTCACTGTAGACTTTCAACTCTACAAATAACAAAAATAAATAATACCCACTGAGTTTAGGATAATATAGTTATAAAACCAGAATTTCAGAGTTTATTATTTGAATAGTAACAATTTCTTTTTATCTTATACAACACATTGTTTTTCATATCTAAGTAAGTATGCAGTTCATTAATTCAATCAAGATGAATGCTTGTTTTCTATCACTTGTTATAATCAAATGTGAACAAATAAATTGTGGTAATAAATAACCTTGCAGCTAAATCAGGCATATTTTCTTTATTTTAGAGGTCACTGTAGAAACCTTTTTAAAATGTTTCAATTTCAAAATCAGTGTTACTAATACATGTGTGCTTGAAAAAAAATCACTTTGAAAACCCGTCTGTCCTTATTATTTAGGCATTGCAAAGTAAAAGCAAATGAAAATTTCTCATGAAAATTTTTCATTTGTAGATTCTCACCCCTGGACCAATTGGCAGCATCAGGATGGATGGTGAAGAGATTGAGATTGTACACAGCTTTAGTTTGCTTGGCTCCATAGTCAACAGGCTTGGCAC